TCGTCCACGTTTTGGGAGCGATGCGAGCGAGACCGCGACATCGAGTTGCGCTCCGCTTTGCTCTCTGTGTCCTCATGGATGGAACGTGATGCCACCTTCTCTGCTTCCAGGAGAGCTAAATCATCTTGGAGGCGCTTGGCCTCTTCCCTTTGGGCCAAAGGCGAGCGTAAATCTGTTCGGTCCACATCGTCGGCATACGAGGTGTCGACAGCGAGGTGGTTGTTCCCGGGAGTGCCTTGCGAGCCCTCGTTGATATAGGTCCCTTCGTCCGAGGTTGGGGAGTGGTCGTCCGTCCGGTTTTTCTTCTCGGGATATTTGGGAGCTGAAAGCTCCTCAATAGGGGTCGACATGCCGGCACCAGGCCAGGAGTCTTAGTAAATATTAAGTATGGTTGATATCGATTGAATGCGGTTGGACTGGAAGCGTGTCAGAAAGCGTCAACACGCTATAATAGTACGAGGTAGAAAAGAGTGACTAAATGGAGAAAAAATAGGGAAGAAAAAAAAAATGAATGAATGAGACCCCGGTATATGACAAACCGAAGGAGTCTAGAAGGGTTGGAACAGATTTGGTAGAGGGGCAGCAGTATCATATAAATATTCATATAAATATGCGATGGGACCAGCAATACGAGACGGAGGCACACCTTCACCAACAATAGTGGGGACTCGGATGTCAGACTAACAGGCAGACGAGACTTGGAGTCTTGGAGTGGGCATCGGATACCGGACCCGTCGTGGTCCAGTCAATCGAAAGGGGAAAGAGGTTGATAGTGAGGTCAGAAAAGAATATTATAAGATGGGGAATAACAGAGACAGTAGAAGGTAAAGAAAGACTGACGGAGGGCGATAGAAGAAGAGAAGAGAGAGTGAGGAGAGAAAAGGAGCCAACGAAGTATTAAACCGGAAGGTACTTCCTACTTATCCCTAGTAAGAAGAAAATGGGGGTAAAAAATATGAAAAATGAAAAATGAAAAAAATCAAAGTTGAGCCCAGACGCAATGACAAGCACAGAAGTTATGCAGCCGACTTCCAATGGAGCAGCAGTTGATTTGTGCCGATCGCACGGGAGAAAAATAGGACGGTGGAGACCTTCCACCATGCGAAGACTTTCTCAGTTCCAGACCGTTTTATCATTTGGTGTCAGTGTTTTGGATCATCGCCGAATTGACTTCATTAGGGTTGTGTGTCTTTGTCGGGATGATAACGTCGGGTTCTTGTACCCCCAAACCACCATGATTCTTTCCACCGAGTATCTTTTAAGATAGCACAATCCTTATCTATCAAACCTAAATTGTATTTTTATCCATTTTTGAGCTTCCACAAACCAGGTACCGGTCGATGTGGCTTTTTTTCCCCCTCTGCTAAGGCCGATCTGGAGATTAACTAAGGGGAGCCACCCGTTCACCGTCGGCTTGGATCAGTGGTTCTGGCCAGTGGTCACAGTGGCCCCGTTGGGTCCTTAGCTTTCCCACTAGCAGTGAACGACCCAGCAGCTCTGACCAATGATGGCCCTATCGCAGGCTTCTGGTCAGACCCGAGAACGTGTAAGGTCCTCCGTCGAGGGACCCCTACCGCGTACGTCGGTCTAGATGTACGCCGGAGTAAGGCTCAGTTCAACGTGAAGGAAGATTCCTTGCATAGCTGCAACAATGCTGATTCATCCTCTCATCCCCCGACACTTATGCAAGTAACCAAACCGGTGGGTTCTCGGGAAAACGATAGTTCGAGATGGATGGCGAGTCGTGTAACCTGGACGCTTACCGAGCATGGAGCACATAGTATAACATACTACCGAGCACACTCCTGATGGCGATGGGAACCCGCCATTGGTTGGCTATCTCCGTCCAAGTAAAACACTCGATGGGAAATTGGCCACCGCCAAGAAACGCCACCTCAGGCACACTGACGGCAAGCTCTGAACTTTCGCTTCCACCGGAAGACGGAAGATCCCAGTGAAAAAAGTGTGTCAACCACACTGACAGCGGAACGTTGAACTAGACTAGTCCTCGTTTCTCGGAACGGTACTTTCTCAGCTCAAAAGCGTCCTCTCCAACTCTGTTCACGAACAGTGGTTTTAGTCACTTTAGTCATGAGAATGGTGGCGATCCCCATTGGCCTGACATAATAGTGGGTATTTTGGTCAAGATGGGTACGGAGTATATTAATTTGAATCTCAGACGGTGCGAACATTAATAGCATCGATATCGTGAAAAAGGCTATTTTCCACACCATGCCGTATATTGTCGGGAAAACCTGATTTTGGTTATGCACTGCACATGCACCCCATTGTGACGCATAATGTATGTCTTGAGTATTGGCCTGAGGCAAGAACTCTTGATTCGCCAGAGTATTTATTACAAGAAAAAGGAGAGAGTTACATCCCCAAACTACCTTCCCGAGCACTACCATCCAGAGGTGGTATAGTGCAACGAAAACATTACATAGTAGCACCCCCCAAACATCCACCTCGATGGATTGATTGTTAATTGAAAGTCTCCATGCGATGGAATTGTTGACGTGTTGTTCCCCGCTCCGATCAACCAGTCAACGGAAGATTCTTCTGTGACGATTCTGTACCAAATCTTGATAGGCACTCGAACAATGGATCCATCGCCCCATCAGAAACTTTCTTTACTAAGAAGTGCATAAGCGAAGTGTACCACCATGGTATTCTATGCACGCCGTGATATGCTCAAGACCTGAAAACAATCGCATACGGGGTACTGTGATATATACCTCGCAATCTGCTCCACATGGCATGGTCATGGGCCATATGATGCCCATAAACCGAGGTATGGTGTGCATAAGTTCCATCCCCACATTTCCCAAAGAGCACGTGGATCATAGTTACCCAGAATGTTGAGAGATACCTCCAGAATGCAGTCTGATAACAAGGATCAATCTCTGGAATATAATGACCGCATGTTCTCGACATGCTGGCATAAGGGCATAGTCCCCCATTAATACAGCTCTGAGACACGACTATGAATCTCGCTATACGCAACGCCAATATAAGAAATCCCTCGGTGTGAGCAATTCAAAGGGTCAGCCAAATTACTCGCTTCTAGCGAGTTTTTAACAGTATACTATCTTATCTAGTAGTGCATACCTATAATTACCTCCAGACACTATGTACTTTGTTCTTCTCCACGAAACATTACCGGATACAGGTGTTTAGGCAAGAGACGCTTAAGATATCAGGTCATAGTAAAAGGCAAATTCTGGACGACCTTGTAAAGACCCTGGATATCAATCACAGTCTGTACATACCAACTGGTCTGGCGTTCGCTACCCATATATACCGGCCTTTACGTGAATCATGGCTTCGTTCTGGGCCGATGTGTCTCGACTCTCGACTTTCGAGACTGGAAGAAGTGGAGCGTGACAGAAATAGTTTGGCGAGTTCGGATGACGATCTACATAGACTATCCGTGCATCGGAAGCATATTGACCTTTCCCCTTCCAATAAGGGCCTTACTCCAGTCACCACCACCAAGTTATCAACGGTTAGCAGCGATCTTCATACTCTACTAGTCTTCTCCCCGTGTATCTTCATGTCCACATTAGGTCACATTCTGGCAAGTTAGACGGCTGGGGAATGGGTTCCTTAAAAAGGTGATGCTATTGATGCTTTGACCTCCCTGGGATATGGCATGCAGAGGGTCAAATCTACAAAGGATGATTGATGTGCCTTGTACGTGACGCTGGCTGGTATTTACATTTGTCACACCCTTCTCTCTCTCTTATATATATCTAATCTCAAATTTTTTTTCTCACTCGCTTTGAGTTTTCTGTATGTATGACCATCACTAGCATAGCGGCTTTTCATTCATAGGGTCACGAGAAAATGGCAGCAGGTCCGATCCTGGTTGCTTTCGGAGTTCTATGACTAAGTTGTATATTTGACTATCTCTTCGTGAGAAGTGAAAATCAATATCACCCCCGTGATCTAGGAAGCTACTATTAGTCTTACTCAACAACCTCAACATTTATTCAGTCTACATAACATGGCAAGTAACTGAGTTGAATTCTTCACACTCAAAGCTGCCAAAGCTGCCAAAGCTGCCAATACCTCCGAACTTGCGTCGCAGGTAATCTCCATTCCCGCATAGTCATCCATCTCTTACTGTATAACACACTTCTACATCGATGTCACTTCTCCTTTTGCTTGTACGCCCCGAACAAAGTGATAAAACGAACAGAATGCACTGGATATCTTATTATTCTCCTTCACCCACTTGGTATACCACACAGAACAATTTAACTCAGGACACCTAGAATATAAAAAAGTACAGCTGCGAAAGGTTTACTTAAACCAGGAAGAAAAGCTTCATTTTTACCGTCCGTCAGCGCCCCTCTATTGCTGACGGGCTAACCAGGAGACTATCAGATTCTTTGGGATATTGTTGTTCTCTTGGGGATGAATGCTAATGATTACAGTTCAGTTTGAGTATGATATTGCTTGTTCGGGTAACTATAGCCCGATGGCCTGAGGTTAGTAATGTAGTTGAGTAGCCCGAAAAAAAGAAGTGCAAGAGCACCGTGGACGGTTCGGCAGCTAATCTGAGAAGACAGCAGGATACTCTTCGTAAGGCAAGTCATAGGGTATATGGTGCGTCTTGTATGTGGCATTGTAGATAGGGATTCAGCGGTACTGACTTGATTATATACTCGTACATGATTGTCTCCGATAGTTTAACCTCACGGTCAGTGTTATGGAGATAGAAAGTCAAATTTCTGACTTAGAATTCGTCTTGTCCTGTCTTTGACTGTTGGCCATCCATTTTCAGCCAAAATCAAACTCGGTTGATAGGGAAAGATATATGGAAGAGGGAATAACATGACATGATGGGCTCTGACGGGTCACGTAATGATCCGCTCGGTGGATGGATCAGGAGAGGCTGGAGACCCGTTGATTGGCTGATGCAGCCTTGTTATTGGGCCCACGGGCAAGAACGACCGCCGAACTATCACTCCACTACTCCTTCACTTTACTAGCTCTCTCTTCTCTTCTCTCCTTGTTCTCCTCTTCGATTCCTTGAAGCTACACCTGACTCTTTTCCAATTCTCTCCCATCCAACCACCGGCATATCCTGTCGCTCCGCCCGTCTCCCGTATCACCATCTCGTTAAGCCATCATGAGAGGCGAGGTACGAACCACTCTGGATTTACTGCCGTTTGCTTATTTACTTCCCCCGCATTGTCACGCCCCTCCCCTTAACCACGACCGTTGACATTTACCTCGTTCGGGCTCATCTTGCCTGGGCATCACCCTTTTCCATGGAGGTGCATCTATTGACTCTAACCTCCGTCCTTCATCTCTAGATTTGCCACATCCACATTGGCCAGGCTGGTACGCAGCTTGGTAACAGCGCTTGGGAGTTGTACGTTCACCGCTTTTCCCGTTGCCAACATATACATACCCCACTCTGAACTAGCCCACGTCTGGGTAGCAACCGGCTTGCAATCGAGCTAATCTCGACCCATACAGATACCTTCTGGAGCATGGCCTCAAGGCTGATGGCCGTATCGACCCCGAGGCGTCCGAGGAACTCAACTCGGGCGGTTCGTTCGAGACCTTTTTTACTGAGACCAGCAACGGCAAATACGTCCCCCGTTCCATCTTCGTGGACCTCGACCCATCGGTATGCAATCGCCTTCTAGGAAAACAACAGAATGCTTGCGATGAATCTGTTCCGCTGACTATCACCAGCCTATTGATGAGATCCGTACCGGTGCCTACCGCCAGCTCTTCCACCCTGAACTGTTGATAAGCGGAAAGGAAGACGCAGCAAACAACTGTACGGTCTACAGAAAATAACAGTGGAAAGCAAAGGCTAATCGATAAACAACAGATGCTCGTGGCCACTATACCATCGGAAAGGAGCTTGTGGACAGTGTCGTTGATCGCGTCCGCCGGGTGGCCGGTAAGACTAATGGACCGACCTTATTATAAGCCTATGCTGATCGGGCCAGACAACTGTTCCTCTCTGCAGGGTTTCTTGGTCTTCCACTCGTTCGGTGGTGGTACCGGTTCTGGTTTCGGTGCTCTATTGCTGGAGCGCCTCTCCACCGACTACGGCAAGAAGGCCAAGCTAGAGTTCGCCGTTTACCCTTCCCCCCGTGTCTCGACTGCTGTTGTTGAGCCCTATAACGCTGTGCTGTCTACCCACAGCACTATTGAGAATGCCGACTGCACATTCCTTGTTGACAACGAGGCAGTTTATGACATCTGCCGTCGCAACCTGGACATCCCCCGCCCGAGCTATGAGCATCTGAACCGTCTGATTGCTCAGGTTGTCAGCTCCATCACCTCCAGTCTGCGTTTCGATGGTGCCCTCAACGTCGACTTGACTGAATTCCAGACCAACTTGGTGCCCTTCCCTCGTATCCACTACCCGTTGATCTCCTATGCCCCCGTTGTGTCCAGCAACCGCAGCTCTCATGAGAGCTTCAAGGTGCAGGATCTCACCTTCCAGTGTATGGGCCCCTAATGTCCCCCCCCCAAAGTGCCTTTGATGTCACGGTGTGACTGACAACTACTCCTAGGCTTCGAGCCCAACAACCAGATGGTTGTCTGCGATCCTCGGAACGGAAAGTACATGGCTGTGGCTTTGCTGTACCGCGGTGATGTTGTGCCCCGTGACTGCACTCAGGCCATCGCCTCCGTCAAGGCCAAGGCTTCCTTCAACCTGGTCGAATGGTGCCCCACCGGATTCAAGCTGGGTATTAACTACCAGAAGCCCGTGCGCGTTCCCAACAGTGAACTCGCCCCCGTCGATCGCTCCGTCAGCATGTTGTCAAACACCACTTCCATCGCCGAGGCCTGGGGCCGTCTCGACCACAAGTTCGACCTCATGTACTCGAAACGCGCCTTCGTCCACTGGTATGTCGGCGAGGGTATGGAGGAGGGAGAGTTCTCCGAGGCCCGTGAGGACCTCGCGGCCCTGGAGAAGGATTACGAGGAGGTTGCCAACGATGGCGAGCCATTGGAGGAGGAAGAGCCTGAATACTAATCGACTTGCAACTAGGCGCCCGCTCTGCTTGTCGGTTTGATTCTTGGCTTGTCTACTTTGTGCCAATATTGTATCTCGTCCTTGTGCTTGCGACACCCCCTTCTGTTTTCTTGTTTCCCTAGCGTTCGTTCCATTTCCCACTCTTGTCCGGTAGCCAGTCGGTAGAATATGGCGCGTAAAATACGAATACACATCTAATTTCCTGCGAGGGTTCCCATTCCCAGTCTATTATCAAATCGGCGTCAAGCAGAACACCGGGTAATGCATTAATCTATACTGTACAATCTAATCCATGTCTAAAGGGGCGGTGATCACTCCGCCGCCACTTCAAGCTCGCGGAGATAATGCAGCGACTTCTCGTAGGTCCACATCGTCACGGCACTGGCCGGCGCAGCTTGAAGAGACTCACCGTCAAACCGCGGTAGAGTCCTCGCATCCCCTGTGTCCGCACGATCATGGCCATGGTGTTGAACACCCCTTGGTACTCCGGGATATTCCGATGCACATACTTGGAGCGTGTCGGGCCCTGCACCTGCAGCCTCTTCCGCACCAGGTCCAACGGAAAAACACCCGTCTTGGCCAACACGCTGGCCACCACTCCCGCTGCGGCATCCCCCGACCCAAACGGCAGATCATGCAATCCAGACATCACCGGCCGCAAGGACTCGTACGTCGCAAAAAAGAATCCCATGTAGGGCACAATCTGCCCGACCGCCGCACTACATCCCCGAAAGAACCCCCTCGGGCCCTCATTCCGCGCTATATCGCGCACCGACGCGTAGAGAGACGCATACACACGTTCTGTGCCCTGTGCTGCAAACCGTGTGCGCAGTAAATCAAGCGGGTACGTCGACGCCGTGGCTAACCCGCCTGCCGTGCGCCCGCGACGAAGGATTCCGCCGGCGGAGGGAGCCGGTAAGGGTCTAGTTGCGATAGGGCTTGTGTCGTTGTTCGGTAGGCGGCAAATTGAATGGCGCCATAACAGACGTACATTAGTTCCGCGGGGATGTTGCCTTTCCATAATCCCTGTTTTTGGAGTTAGAAGGATTTGCCGGGTTGGATGTAGTTGCGCGTAAGACGTACTGTTATCCCTTCTTCGCGGAATATGGAGCGGATCGTGGGGAGCGTGCCTTTATAGACGGGGCCTTTTATGTTCTGGTGTGAAGTTGGGTCGGAGAGGGAGTGGATTTGGAGCTGGAGACGGATTTTGACGACGTCGAGGGGAGCGACGCAGAATCTTGATTATTGGACTTCAATGTTAGTTAAAGGTCGAGTTTGAAGGTTTTGGTGTTGAGGACAGGGATATACCGGGAGACCAGGCCTGCGATCCCGCCTGCGAGAACGACTTGTCGTCGCGTGCCCTGTTCATTCACATTGCGCTTTAGTACGAGAGTGGAGGAAGGAATAAAAAGCCAAGGCGATTTGATTGACTTACCTCATCCTTGAGGTGTTCTCCCCCGGCAGACATGCATGTGATTGATTATGGGATACGGGGATCTGGAACGGATGGCGCCGGGTAAATGGATGGACAATGTTTTTTTTCTTTTCTCTTTTTCTTTCCCGTTTTGGGGTGGAAATTTATTGAGCTAGGAAACAATGGGGATTTATAGGAGTTCAATGGGTTGAATAGTTCATGGGAAATTTGCCATTAAGTCAGCGATACGTAAAGAGGTTCTTAGGTAACGAGCAATGCATTGGATTGGCTCTTCTTGTTCCTGGTTACTAACAGTTATCGATTGTGATCTATTCTAAGAAATTTGCCCTTCAAAAAAGAAAAATGAAAAAAAAGACCGGAGGCCATGTTTCAATACCTTATCGATACGGCGGTAAATAACCAGGACGGTATTGTACTCCCGGAGGACAACAGTTTGCCTGGTTACTCCGCACTTTTATGGTTAAAAAGCAAAACATCACGCTAATCCTGAACCGGCTTGGTGCTTGGACCTCGGCTTTTTCCCAAAACCTTCATATGGGGTGATGTTCTCTCCAACATCCCCACGTTTCCCTTCTTCTTTATATCTTTCTGCTTCTTGTGCCCTTGGGCGGTGCCATTGACCCAGCATGGTTCGTCTGTTGGCAACATTTCTTCGATCCTCTCGGGCTGCTGTGCCCTCAGCTCGCCCGCTCTATTCTCGAGGTTATTCCGCTGCGAGTGGCGGCGCCGAAGATGCTGCCTCCCGCGGATCGAACTCGAAAAGAGTTCCTGAAGGGGATCCTATCCGAAGTTTCGTAGAGCCTCCAGAGCCTCAGACTCGCAATAGCCAGCCCTCACCCCCCTCAATTGGGCGCCAAGGCATCCGAATCCACACCGCGAAGGGGAATATCTCGGCCATGCACTCTCTGCTGCGTGACGGCTGCAAATGCCCGCAGTGCGTAGACCAACACTCGAAGCAGCGCAATTTCCGCATGTCGGACATTCCAGCGGACATCAAGCCGCGCTCCGCAGACTGGGACGGAAGCGTCCTGAAAGTGAAATGGGAGAACGACATCCCCGGGTTCGACGAGTCGCACACGTCCACATACACGCTCAACCAGCTCCGAAACCCCAGCGCAAACTACTCCTACCACAGCACCGGCCGCAAGAGAAAGCGCCTGCTGTGGCACAGCTGGTTCAAGCACCGCTTCGTCTCCTACGAAGAGTACATGCACGACGACAAAGCCTTCTCCAGCGCCATGCGCGGCCTCGCCCAGACCGGCCTCCTCTTCGTCAAGGACGTCCCGGACTCCCGCTCTGAAGTCGAGAAGATCGCAACCCGCATGGGGCCCCTCCGGAACACCTTCTACGGCGCCACGTGGGACGTCCGCACCGTCCCCGAGGCCAAGAACGTCGCCTACACGAACCAGTTCCTGGGCTTCCACATGGACCTGATGTACATGAACGAGCCACCAGGATTCCAGCTCCTGCACTGTCTCCAGAACTCGTGCGATGGCGGCGAGTCGCTGTTCGCGGACTCGTTCGCCGTCGCCAGACAGCTTAGCCTTGATGACCCGGAGGCGTTCAAGGCCTTGTGCCACTTCCGGCTCTCGTACGAGTATAACCATCAGAATGATGTTTATTCCAACGATTGGCCCGTGTTCCAGACGTTTGTGGATGAGTACACGCAGCAGACGAGGCTGATGCACGCCAACTACTCCCCGCCCTTCCAGGCCCCGATGCACGGCCAGCGCCGTCCGTTCAACCGCACCGTGACCGAGATGCGGGCCCTGGATAAATTCGCCAAGATGCTGGAGGACGAGCGGTATATCTACGAGCTGAAGCTGAACCCGGGCGAGTGTGTGATCTTCGAGAATCGCCGCGTGCTGCACGCCCGCAAGCAGTTCAATACCGCTACTGGCCAGCGCTGGCTCGCTGGTGCCTATGTTGATGAGGACGCCGTCTTGTCCAAGTTCGCGACGTCGGCCCGTAAATACCCGCAGCTGTGGCGTGACAGCCCCAGCAAACCATATCGGAAACGGGCTGAGGGAGAGAGCCACGATGGGCCTTCCAAAGAGGAATTGACTATGTAAAGATGACGAAGAACGTGACGTGTTAAGCCATTGGCTACTGTGTTTTCTACAAAAGGCTCGAATACACAAGCATAGAGGTATACAGCGGTTTCAAACGCATGTCAGAGGAGCTTAGATTAGCTCCTGTACATAAGCATAGCGTGATATTTATTCATTTGTTTTTTGTGGGTCTCTGTTATTAAATGAATGAACCAAAAGAACGAAACATGCAAGAAGATATAGTGCTGGAACACTGAACATAGAAAACGTAATGGCATCGCTGTCCTATAATCTAACAAATCGAGTTTGCAAGGAGGTAGAAAACAAGACATAAAGAAAACTCTTTCCCGTATTCTATACGCTCAAGCGGCAGCAGGAGCCTTGTTCACAGAGAACTCACGCAGGAAATCCGGATCATTGTCGATCTCGTCCTTGACCTGTTCACGGGTTAGCACAAGAACCATTCGAGGAAAACAAAGAGAAAAATATAAATAAATAAAAAAACTCACAATATCCAACCCCCCAACCAACTCCCCACTAACCCACAACTGCGGGAACGTAGGCCAGTCCGCAAACTCCTTCAACCCCTGCCTGACATCCTCATCGGCCAAGATATTAAAGAACCCATACTTGACGCTCCGCTCGCGCAGAATCCCCACCAGCTGCCGGCTGAACCCGCACTGCGGCGCGCTCGGCGTCCCCTTCATAAACAGCATGACCGGCGCCGCCTTGACCAGCTCCCCGAGCCGCGCAAACAGCGCCTCCTTCGACTGCTCCGGCGTCAGCGCGTCCCCGTTCGCAGCGCCGGCCGGCGGCTGCGTAGCCGTGGCGGGGCCGGTCTCGCGGG